TGCAGTTGGTGACATCTGGAGGAAGGAGGCCTGGGGCAAAAGTCCTTCCAGCAGGGCTTAGCTGCTGCTGCCATCGCTGGTGACTTTCTCAAAATGTTGGGCTTAGGCTTTACAAGGGCAGAGGAATGGGAGAAAAATTCCCTCTGGGGAAATTAACTGAATATTTCCATGCTGTCATACGTGAGCTGCCTGTACTAAAAGTTCTGCTCTTAGTTTCACAGCTCAGGTTTAATCCAGGCCAGGAGATCCACTAAATCATCTACTAAATGGATATCACTGGCTGTGAGTTGAATTCCCATACAAGATGGCTCAGGCCATGGAGTTCAGCGATGCAATGTGTGAAAAAGTCCCTCATTTGTGTAAGATGGAGCAGCATGAGGCACGGCACGGCTAGCTGTTCTCAGCCTCTAGCTGGAAGCCATCTCTGTTCATTAATGGGATAGCTGGAAGTCCACAGCCAGCCTATAATCACCCTTAGCTAACACTGTGAAGATAATAACTAGAGGCTTTTTTCTCCCCTTCCACTCCCCTCCTCCCCAGGTGTCCACTGTGGTTATTTACACCTGTGGAAAGTGAGTAAGAAAGTAGGTATAAAATGCCGCCATACTGGTTTGGCAGTGTTCTACTGCATTGTAAATGAGGGCTCAGATTTGCAGCTGGAGGACTGGGGCCTCTTTCAAGTCTTTTTCATGTTTTTAATCCTCAATCTTTGTATCCTTTTTTTTTTATTCTCCTGAATAGTGTATCTGGGGTGAGGTTGCAAAGTGATGCTTCAGTGGGGAATTTCTTAAGAGGGATTAATTTAAAAATGATTTAGGAAATCTCAGGATTTCATCAAACACTTCACAGGAATACTGTGAAGCAAAGCAGCGTGCACAGATACTCCTTTGGGAGTATGACAGATGAGCTGAACTGTGTTTTCATGAGGAAAATGTGCTCCTTTTTTTGTCTGTGCAAGTATTTGGTACTCTGGGTTATAATGCCCTCATGAAAATCTCCTGCACTCAGCCTTGCAGGGCTGTCAGTGGCAGTTCTATCAGAAGAAGGGCTGTAGGGTTGGACTGATACATGTTCATGAATCTCTTTTCCACCACTTTGCTGGTTGCTATTTTCTTAAGCATTTCTCCTAAATTAAAACTGCTTCTGTAAGTTGGAAGAAAATTGAGATGTCTGCATGCGCTGCTGAAAAAAAAAAATATGTATACTTTTTTAATGGGGTATTTTCATTCTGGTCTTTAAAAAGTTCTCTGGAGTGAGGGTTAAATGCATTCTTGACACTTGATTCCCTCCCTGGCTGCTGACTCATCATTTCGTTGGCACACGGCCACCGTGCAGTTGTGCAGTGTGCTTACCGAGCGCCTGCATCGCGAATGGAGCGCTGTTGGATTTTCTCATTCCTGACTGGAATGGTTGGGATAGCTTTAGCCTGTCAAATCAGCCACAGTGCAGTCTGTTTCTTTCATGTTTGGTTTAGTCCTTCAGTAGGTTGTACCAGAAGTGTACTTAAGATCCATAATGTGAGGAGGACCTGTGTCTGTATTCTGACCATGAGTGGAAGATGAACCCTTTCAGATATGCTGTGTGTTGAGGTATTCCTTTCCAATAGGCATCACATTAACGTCCAGGAAAATACATCTGTCTTTTATCCTGGTACACGTAAATATGGGAAGTCCTGTTTTTCTGGTCTGATTAAGCAAGGCGCAGCGTGGTGCTAGAGGTGGTACACGCATCATGATCACCTTGCCCATTGCTCTCTTCGGGTGAGCCTGGCCGCTGCCGTAAGAAACTCCCAGGTTGCTCTATGGTTAATAAATTACATGTCATTCTAGGAGCAGCCCTGTGCCAAGGAGTGATGAAAGGTCATTAAAGCAGGAAATCCCACAGTGGGCCAGACCACTGATATTATTAAGGCTTGCTTTAAGGAATAAAGGCAGGATTAGGGTGCAGCGGTTGTTGAGTGCAGACCCACGCTGCAAGCAGTGGGAACGCTGCTGCCTATCAGCACAGCTCATTTGACCTCTACCCTTGGAACAGCAGGGAATCCCTTGGCAGCTCTGCTGGCAGGAGGTTTGAGTTGTTGCTCATTATGAGCCTAATGGGCAAAAAGTGGACTTGGAGGGAATTGCTTGCCGGAGTCTGAGTCCCTGATAAACAACTCACTGCAGCTGCATACAAAATAAACAAATGAGAGGCTAAGATAATGCAGATCTTGAATAATTAGGCATGGGAAGAGTTTTATGTGAATGCCTTTATCCATTTAATGAACCTCTTGTACCAAGTGCGTACCCTGGAGCCCTGCAGGCAGCACAGGTAATCACCAACCAGAAGGCTGACAGGACAGCAGTGTGAAATAGAAATTGTAGCACTTATTTACAGACACGTCAGAAACACATTTCTGGATGACTGTGAATAACTTACTTCTAGATGATAGTAATTAACTTAATCCTAACAAGTCAAGATTGCAGCTTAGTGTTTAAATCATTTTTCATTACAGAAACTCCACTGTTAGATGCAGCAGTTCAAAAGCCTGTTTCAGACCTGACTCTTAATTGCAAGGAACATTTTCATTTTGATAGCTGTGCACGAACGTATTTCCATGGCCAATGAAGTAAGTTCCACAGACATTACATGGTCATCTGGAACCCAAATCGGTAAATGGGACTGGAGAGCTGCAGAAAGTTAAAGCATAGAGTACTGTGTCTGTCAGTTCTCAGCTCCGGTGGTGTGACCTGGCCTTGTGGATGAAGGCTGTGCCTGTTACGTGAAGATTTGCTCGAGGACAGGTGGAATTTGAATTGCTGGGATTGTTCCTGATTCATTAAATAGCGTTATTAGTTTTGTACCAAGTTTGGTAAGGATGGCATTCAGTGAATGTTGCTATGATAAAAATTGTTGTAGATCTTAAGATAATTAACACTCTTGCCCTTCCCCCCCCCCCCCCCAAAAATGAGGGCCGTTTTCTGATAACACGTAGCTGGAGATGATGCGTGTGTTTAGATATTGCCATGCAACCAGTTAGAAGCAGAAGCCATGTCCTTATGCTAGGACAGACTTTCCACAAAGCCTTCATTCCTTCTTCTGCACTTCTGGTCTTTGTTTCATGCTCTGTGTTAATTCAGTTATTCCCTACTAAGTGATAAACTGTTTCTTCTTTCTGAAATGAAAATTCCCTTCTTTCTGCCGTGGTACTTTTTGACAGTTTCAGGTAAAAATTACCACGTCAGGCCAGATGGGCTTAATAATTGGTATCCAGCAGAGCTCTGAAGGGTCCCATTTTTATTTTACATCTGTAATGAACAAATTCTGTACAACTAAGAGAATAGTATAAATTGAAGTTGTGTTATAGCACAATTTAACTGGTTTGAATTCGGGAGCACGTTGTTGCTCTGTCGTTTCTTAGAAACTTGAAACTCTCTCCATGCTTTGAGAGCAGATTGTACTAAGGATAAGTCAGATGTGAGTTGGAAGCAGATGTGTTAGATTTTATTAATTTTTATGATATTCTGAGGGGTTCTCGTGAAAAATAAGGCACCAAGGTGGATGAATTTCACATCTTTCTCCTCCAACCACTGCCTCCTCGTTCGATCTCCAAGTCCCAGCTTACTCTGAATGCCTCCCACATTAAAATGGCAGCCTGCTTTTCACATCACCTTTCACTTGCTGTTTGTTTCAGAGCCACTCCTTTTCTTTCCATATGCAGTGTTGTTGTACCTGTCTGTTACCAGAGCCCAGAATGAGAAGTGTTGTGTTTTAGATCATGTGGTATTTTGAGCTGTTTGAATGCTTTCTAGATCTTGAATTAGATTGATATCTGCCCATTCCTTTTTACATGCAATTCATAAGCTGTTTGCTTAACTTTATAATGCTGCTTTGTATGTACTTTCTTATTGGGATCCTCTTTTTGTAGCTTGTTGGCACAAAGATTTACAACCACAAGCATCAGCACTTTCCTTGCTAAAACAAAACCTGAGCCCATAATGTTTGTGTAGATTTTCTTAACTTTGTGTAGATTGTTTTGATTTTAAAGAATTTACTTTCCTTTCAAAGTGATTTATTTCAAAAGAAAATGTTGGTCATCTATGTTAAAAACAAAGCCTTATCAATGACATCTTTGGACAAGGAAGGTGTCGTACTCTGCTTGTTTTGTGCTTACAGTCCAGCATAAACTCCAGTAAATTAATTCCTGACAACGGTCATTGTCATAATTAATTGGATTTGTTGATGGTGAAGTGAGACCGAATTGCTCAATCCTCTGCTCCAAGTAGCTGACCACAGTTACTGCTACCACTGTCTGCTACGCTAGAGCTAACCAATGTAATTGCTAGAACATTGCTGTTGTCCTTTTAATGAAATGTATGTCATGCTTTGAAGTCTTGCTGTGTGTGTAGGTGCTTTGGATAACGCTGGCTCCCTGTAAAAAATACCCTTCCTTGGCTGCCCCAGGAAGAAGTTTCTTAGTTACTCTTCCAGTCCTGGGAGATGCCTGTTGGTATCAGTGCTCAGGGCTGTGTACAGGCAAACCAAGGGGTTCTGGGCTGGATCCAGGCCTCCCTGGCTGAAAGCACTTCAAAATCCTCTTCTCTGGAGCCAAAACACTCTATGCAGCAGCTGTTTCAAAGCAGAGATGCTTCAGGTGGTGAGTACATGTCGTACAGTGGAATTGATTGTAGTGTAGGTGTCCTAGAAATGTATTTCTAAGACAGTCCTTGGTGGTTTTCTTGGGCTTCATAATGAAATGATAAATTGGATTGGCGGTGATGAATGATCGCAGAGATTGCTTATTGCAGCAGCCTCCACTGCCCTGGTTTGTGCCATTAAAAATCGTGTTAAGTTTCACTGCTCTTTTAAGCCGCCTGCTGTATGCCTGCTTTGTTTGAAAAGGCAGAAGTCCATGAATAGCTTTATCATATCTAATACCAGATCATGTACAATGTTGGTCTGTGGCTGCTGCTTACCATATTCATTCTGATTATGTAAAACTGAAAACCACTGCATTGAAATGAAGTTTCAATGTTTTTATTCAAAGCAGCTTCTCACAATGTATAAATACTGCATATTAACACACATGAAAAATACAACTTCTAAGGCACCCAGAAATGTGTCCATACACTAGTTACAGGACCATCAACAAATAAATTGTGTACAATTTGATCTAGACAGTCAATATTTGATATATCAGAAGATACAAGTCCCTCAGTACTGTACCAGTTTCAGAAAATATTTACAACACTGTGATATAGGGGTGCCTGTACCCTTATAATATTATAATATGCACTCATCGTTACAAATATTAGAAACTGTTTTAGTCTGTTCCATGGCGTTCTGACAAAATAACTTAAGGGTCTAATTTGGGAAGTTCTACAATTAATTACTTGTGCAAGTTCTGAAAATAAATTTACATTGACATAATTTGTGAATTTTTGGTTCTTTGCTTCATCTCAGAGGTTTGGTAATAAGCCTTACCAATAGACATGCCATCCTAGCTGAACATCACTCCTGTCCCAATCCTCAGTGGACACGTCTTTTCCCCTTACGTTTGACACAGATGAGAATGCAGTGTTTGTAGCAGAAAGAGACTCTTTGACCTTCGGTACAAATGTCATGCGAGTTCACTGGCTACGGAACTAACGCTTCATTAGAGTAATGCAGTTCTTTGGTCCTTTGTTTTTATGGAAGGCATAATATTTTCTTTCCCTAAAAATCGAAGTCCTGTCTGTGAGCAAGCAAGCTAGTGAATGACTTTCAGTGTAGTATTTAAAGTAGCAGTAAAGAGATTTAATATGGCTTAAAACATATGGTTAATTGGGCGGACACAGATAACACATCTAGGATACCGAGTACCCAAATGTACTATGATTAAGATTGTCTATAAGTCTCTTATGTAAACTTCTTTAGTGTCTCCTAAAGAGTGGTGGCTTTAGCCAGATTTGACTTTTATAGACCCAGCCACACAAAGCCTGAGATTAAACTACTGTGGTTGGGAGCACAAATGCACAGTTTAAATATAACAAAGCCCATGCTGACAACTCCAAGTATGTTGTTTGAAGGAAACAACCCGTATTATCCTTTTCACAAGAAAAACTTAAGGCCCTGTACTCTGATTTGCTAACTTTCTTACAGCAATTAGTTGGGGAAGTCCTTAGTACTACATAAGCCATTATGTAGCTTTAAAGATTTCTTGTACCTAATGGTAAGGCTTATTCACAAATGCAATACATTTATAAATTACATTTAAAACTTTAAAGGCTGGCAAAATAATTAAAAAAATAACAAAATAAAACAAAACAAACCCCAAACAAAATTGTTTGTTTATCCCTAACATTAAAAGAGCCTTTTTTTTTCTAATTAAAAACTATTGGCACAAAATCATTTTATATTATAGATTAAAAGAACAGTTAATAGTAGTGAAAAAGATTGCCTAAAACGCATACCCTAACCTACCACAGAAATATAAAAGTTTATATTCTGAAAATATATATACTGTATTAAAGTTTGTAAGCTTATTCATTTAAACAGAAATGTACTGAAATAGTAAACAGAGCAACACTTATCTACAGCAAAAATATACATGCAGGACAACACAAAATAAATTGCTTACCTTTAATATCTACAAATGCAAAACTGTAGATTTTTAAAGATTGTACAAAACAATTTACACGAGAATAAAATAACATACTTAACAACAAATTGCATTTATCATCTTAAATACTGTGAATATTAGTGAAGGTCCCCAGACTAATATGTACAGTACATCGAAATGTCTGGGTACCTCGTAAGGACAGAGCAAATCGATTCTGATCTTTAAATACTGGAAAAGAGGCTTCAGACATTATTATTACTCTTTTCTGGAAGGGAAAATAGATTTCATGAAAACTAGACTGTAGCTGTATAGATATGAATAATCAAAAATGTTAACTATGGTTAGCACTTGCTTTAATGGAAAAATAATTATAGAAAATGTATTTCAACTATTCCTTTGTCATAAAAAAGGTAAGCTACGGATATTTGAAAAATCAGATGAAATGATGCAGTTTAAAGGTCTAACAGCTTATCATTCTTCTTCGTTTGAAAATCTCATATAGAAAGCACACCTTCACATTGCTGAGCAGTTTCTCTATACTTATCTACAAAACCCAAGCACAGTGTCGAAATAAACTGCCTAATATCTTATTAACACGTGACGAGGAGTTATGGCTCTCTGGACGGGAGTAAAGGAAACAAAGGAAATTGAGGAGTCGTGGTATTTTCATTGCTTGTAGAAGTTTTATTATTTTGTTACGATTCTGTAGTCATCTGCTGGAGGCCTGATTGTGCAAACACTTGTGTGTGCGAGTGGTTCTCACTTGGTAACCCCTCATCTGGTGCAGCGGGGTGACTCCGTGCACACACTGCACAGCAGGAGTTGTTGGTTTTGAGAGCATTTCTTGAAAGATGAAAGCAGGTTTATTAGAAGCCAGGCCTCGTCTTTTTAATGAAGAATTTCCACGAGAACATCTGCCTTTAGGGTGATCATTTCCTTAAAATTCAGTGGTACAATTAGGCCATTGAAACAGTGCTTCTAATTAGCTGTGGAACAGGAAATGTTATAAAAACGTGTTGAAGGGTTATTGTAATCACCTGTTAGATAATTTTGCAAAGGCTTTGTCGAAGCTCTTTGTGGAAAGGCTGTAGGGAGCAAAGCTCCCAGCCTTGTTTGCAGAGATTTAAGCCATGAGCTCAAGGATGGAGAGCAAGTGCACAAACTGCAAAACAAAAAAATGTGCAAAGCTTCTGCTTTGGGAGGCGGTAGTTTGGGCGTGCTAAAATGGCAGCTGGAGTCACAGAGCATGCTTGAATCATTTCCATATTAATTGCCTTACTAGCAAGAAATAAACGAGATCGATCCAGTGTTCAGAAGTCAGTCAGTGTCACTGAAAAGTACTAGGATCACATTCTGAAATAGCAGGTTGGACTTCAGTCGTTACGTGTGGGCTCTGTATGGATAGCCGTTCATTCTGGGGGCCAGATGGTGGGGGGGCCAGATGTGGAGGGCCGGGAAAAGCAACCCGAAACTTCTCCCTCCGCTTAGCTCAATGCCTAGCACCTTGTATAAACTGTTGGCCCACACCCAAAGGCCTCCAGAGCAGAAATTATCTCACACCTGAGGAATCAGGCAACTAGACTAAGGCTCGTAAGGGTTTGCTTCTAGACTTCAGACCAAAAAGGGATGTTTAAACCTGAAGAACAGTAAGGTGCCACGGAACGGCACCGCTCACCCTGTCACTCACATCCGGCTAACAGGACTGTCGTAAACTTAAATAAAGCTTCTTGTTGGCAAGCCCTTCAGTGCTCCTCCAGAAGGCAGGAAGTGAAGAGGGACTTAGGGGGAATCTCACTAGTTCAGAATCCACTTTTTTTCCCTCAACCGTGGCGAATGAATGTGTTTCATACATTTTTATACAATTTTACATGTGCAGGAGTGTGTACGTGGCTGTTTTTTTGTGTGCCCACAGCATTCTGTGTGTTTTCTGTATATTCTTTGTTTTTCTACACGTTGCTGCTCAAAGTGTGTTTGCATTCCCACGTGATGCCATTAATTCAGTCAAGGGAAGTATGAAAATAAGATCTGTGATCAATAAACAGCTGAATATGAACACAAAATAAATAAGTTAAATAAATTCAACAAAGAAAAAAATCCTAGTAGTTTTGGTAAAACTAACTTTACATATTATACATATAAATTACCAGATTTTTCCATTACACTGTTAGAACTTAGCAAAAAAAAAAAAATCAAACCATTTCAAAAGTACGGTGTTTGGGTCTACAGAATATTGCGCCGACCCGGTTCTTAGATTGAGCCCTCCGTGTCCAATGCGTTGCAACAGCAGGAGTAAGTTAAGGAGGACAGGCAAAAAAGATCCTTACAGATGGTGTGCCTTAGTGGGCCTCAGTGGTGCTTCTCAGCACATGGAATGTATGTTTCTGTCTGGATGAGCACGTGAAGGATGCAGCCCTCTGTAGAATATGTGCACTGAAGAAGCCTGCCTACATCTCGCTTACACGAAATCAAACCGGCTACAAGCAGCGTGTAGCTCACAAGGAAATCGACACGACCATATGCAGAAGGACACACTGTCACAAACTCCTCAATGACGCACTGCCTCTGCTTTTCAAACACAGGTAACGTTGCACTCTGTTCACAACTGGAGCGTTTACTGCTTAAGTTAGGCCAAGACATCAGACTTCGTAAATCTTGTCTTGCAAGTAGCTGAATAACGAATCCAGTCCTTTGGAAGAACTCCACAGCTGTTTCAACATCTGACACTCTTTCTCATTCACATCTTCAAGTCCGGATTTCAGGAAGCTCCGCATGAGGCATTTGGACTCTTCCAATACCTAAAGCCAAAATATCACTCAGTATTTATTATGGATCGGATAGAGTTATTATGGATGATGGTGTAAACAGCATTTTTTTTTTTAACTGTGGACAGCATTGTACAACCTAAATAACTCATTTGGGCACAGAAATCAGAGCTGATTTACAGCCCTACCTCCAGTTGCTAATAGTGTCTCTAAGAATTAAGGACTTCTGAGGTTAATGCCAGTGTTTTTAGTGGGAATGAGGGATTCTGAAGTACCTTAGTTTATTGAAGGTCTGCCATGAAGTATTACCAGAAGGAGCCGAACGCCTTCCTTTGGAAATGGGACCCCTTGAAATTAAGGCGTTTTCTGTAAAATAATCTTTAAGGTTATAGAGGCTGGAAACCCAAATATGGATGTGCAACTTAAACAGCTGGTCCCCATGCATAATTTCATTATCAGAAGAGAAATGGACAGAAATGGACCTCTACTGCACATACTTTAAAGTTTATTTTCTTCAAAGCTTATAGAAGTGAAAAAGCACTCCCTGACTGTGTCCTGGAGGTAAATTTACTTAGCATAATATAAGCAGTCGTAGGAAATAATATTCCTATAATTCAATGAAATGGCACTAATTGCAAACAGTGGGCCCTGCACATATTTTCTCTGTGAACAAGTATCCACAGCAAATTTGGATGAGCTCATCACGTCCACTATTTCTTTGACTTCAGCCCGATTTGCATTGGGGATCTCAGAGAATGCATCTGTTCTTTGACAGTTTTAACTCTCATCCTTGTCCACAGATTCACTTCAGCCTTTCCAGCAGGACTCAGGTGAGGATTTTATTGACAACCAGTAATGGTGAAGGAAGGAAAATTTCACAGAAAGGCCCAGAGGTTTTCTCAACTCATAATACAGTTACATCAGCTTGATCAAATAAGCTTATGCTGCATTTCTAGGGTTTCATTCTGAATGACTTTGGTGAGATCTAATCTGTGCTTCATTTAATTAAAGATCTCCTGCGTCTCTATCTTCTCTTTTACAACAGATCATTTATATGGAACAGAGGGATATTAAGACAGATTTAGGCACAGGAAGCACTAAAAGAAACTGCAGCAATGTGCATCCAGTTAGTAGAGCTTTGCTGCAGCCTGTATCACCTTGCCATGATATTCTGTGACCAGACTGAGGTCAAATCCCTCTGTCTGAACCTCCTTCACTTTAAATATTCGCTGGCACCATGCTGCCCTCCTGGTGCACTGTGCAGGACGTTTTGCAAAATCAGGAGCTATGCAGGTGCAGAAAAGAAGGCAGAGTCAGCTGAAACATAGTAGGCCAGGACAATGCAAAAGGCAAATTTATTTTCTTACTGGCACAGCAGGGATTTCCCAGTGTAGATGCACAGCTTCAGACTGTTCTGCCTTCATGAAAGAAACCTTTGCTAAAACTCCTTTTTAAAATCTGTGGCATGGTGGTTCTAGTCATAGACTGAATGTGGAGATGGGAGAGTGAAACAACCCTCCCTGCTCTGAAAAATGGAACTCCATGAGTTTGCTGATCCCTATCCAGATTTTGTATTGCTAGCCCTGTTCCGCAGGCACGGCTGTGGAAGCTGAGGACCTGCCTTCTGACATGATGAGCCTCAGGAGCACACCTTACCTCTGCAAAGTGCCATTCAGTCACAAAGCAGTGTGATTTCTTACCACTGCACTGCAGGACGCCATTTCCTTCACTCGGAGCATCACTTCTTGGCTAAATGTTGTTGGCCAAAATACTTGTGACACCAGTCCTCTGCTGCAGGCTTCTTGTGCTGTCAGCTTTCTCCCACAGAACAACATCTCGTTTGCCTGTGAAACCAAAAGATCACTTGTGATCTTGGGTCATAATTCTCCCGATTTTTTTTTCCCCTCATACTTGCCTGCTATTTTCAAAAATCAATTTACAAGTGGTCCACTGTATCTTTCCATATTGCAAAATACTTTACGAGGAGTTTTGGTAGCTATTTAAGGATTGTGCAGTTGGCCAGAGCACAGCAAGGGTTTCACTTAAGAGAAATGTGCTGGCACACGTGATGAGTCTGTATTGCTGATTTTACAAAAGCAGCTGTCAGTAATGTGATGTTATTGTGCCAAGAGAATAAAATACTTTGTGGAGCAAATTCTGCTTTGTTATCCTGCTAAAAACAAAGCAACTTTATGGGAATTACTGTGGATCACCTTTAGAGTAGCAGAGAACAGCATCTAGCTGTGTTATTGCACTGTCCAAACACAACACAACACAGCACAACACAACACAACACAACACAGACAAGAACTCTGCAACATCATTCTGCTGAAGCATTTCTTCTCTTCTACCATGATCTTGAAAATCTTTTCTTTTCCCACCTGTGTAAGTCTTTCCTGAATACAGCAGGCAGAGTTTATTGAATTCAGAGAAATAGGACATTGCTGGAATTAGATGAACTTTCTGTGGATTACATTTCCTCTTATGACAGTTCAGAGAAAGTTGTTTTCTGGTTTACATTTTATAGAGAGAAAGAAGAGCATGAGTTGAACAAAGGTTCTTCAGCAATATGAAGTGGAAAACCTTACCAGTGCAACACCCAGAATTTGTGGGAATGTGTATGATGAGCAGCCAGCTGGAGTGAGTCGGATTGTTGCGTATGGTGTCTGAAACCATGCCTTCTCACTTGCCCAAACGATATCACATAGTGGTAAAATTGAAGCTCCTAACCCAAGAGCAGGGCCGTTGATAGCAACCACAATTGGCTTCTTAAATTGAATAAAAGCTTTTACAAAATCCCTAAAATAAAAAATAAAAGAAAGATCTTGAATACAGAAGCACCACTTAGAAAAAAATCCCGAACTTAAAAGTATTTAATCTGAAAACAAATCAGAACCACTGGTGAACTCAATAAATGCCATGGCCCAGTTTTATGAGATCAGAATTGAAAGAAATTTTCTACTTCACGCACACAAATTTTCTCCTCTATTTAATTATTTAATCTTTCATAGTTCCTAGGACATTAATAAGTTTTGCGTGTGTTGTATATGAACTGAATAACTGGAATGCAGTGACTATGATACTTTTTGCAGAGTGGTTTGGTTAGGATTAGTTTTACTTGTGGACCAGTGACTCACTTGTTGGTACACATCTTGCTTCTCAGTTTGCTCCAGAATGGTTAGTATGGATTCTGATGTTCTGGTTTGGCTAACTTGATGTATGTAATATAGTATGAAAGACAGGAGGCTCATAGGTGTATTGTTGGGTATTTATGTTTTCAGATGTTTTCTTAAGATCGTATGTGAAAGGTTTCTGCAGGTCCCATCAGCGGGCTGGGAGACAGTGACTGTTCATGGCACAACAGCTGGAAGAACAACATCCACAAAGGGGAATCAGAGAGAAATAGAAATGTTGGGGCAGGAAAAGAGTAAGGCTGGTGATCTGTTGGGTCTTTGTTGCAAACAATATAGGCAAAGATGTAACAAATAGCTACCTATTGCCCACCTGCAACTGAAAGTGTGAGGCAATGGGGTCCAACGGGGAAGTAGATGTAGTTTGATTCAACTGGGAAATGAACTGGAACATGTTAAATTCTATGCGATGAGGAGATATTTTAAATAAGTCACCTTTCAAGATCTGTAGAAACACATCTGTTGAATGGAATAGCCTATACACTGTTTAGGAAAAAAAATGAGTGTAATTGTAGGTAGATTATGGACTCGATCAGCCCGTGTACAACAATTTATGAAGGCAAATCAGATGCTCAATTACTTGAGGAAAGAGACATAAATAAATGAAGTTCAAAACAAGAGCGGTGATTCTGTTCCAGGCCTGGGTATTTATTAGATCCATAGTGCATTATTGCTGTCTGATTTTAGGAAAGAACATTGCATTTTGTCAAACGTGCCTTTCAGGGAGTTGCAGCTCTCTCACTGAGGTCACGAAGACCTAGGCTTGTACATCTGAGAACAGGAGGTGTGCCTTCCAGGTTAGAGCCCTGATTTGGCAAACAGTGAAAAACATGCTGAAGGTAAGGAGTGCAAGGACATTGGCTGTATTTTAAATGAAAACAACGAGTCTGAAATCACTCAGTACTGTGCTGTTCAAAGAATGAGTTCTGTTTTCCAGGCTGTCCAGTGAGGAATTGTTTTTTGACTATGAGAAAACAGAAAGGCATGGGAATAAAACAGAAGATCAGAAGAAAGACAAATAGAGTGAAATAGGGAACACTGTATTTGTGTGTTCAAAATAATTTCATTCGAGAGGATGGCAGAGCTAAGGAGAGTTGTGGTTCATTTTTGTTTGCAGAAACAATGCTGTTCATCACTGCTTGTTTATGGGCTTGTTTATGCTTGGGTAATGACTGTAGGTCGCTGCACCTGATTAATTCCAGAATTCTGTGAAACTCTGTAGTAAACTTTGCAAATAGGACTGAGGACACTTGGGAAACAGGGATGTGACGACAGGCAAAAATAAACAGTGTGGATAAGTAATGGCAGCCGATCTGAGGACCACATGGAAGCAGCAGAAAACTGGTGGAAAAAAGCAAGAGGCGTGAGGGATAAGTGGGACCTGAAAGGGAATATGGAAGAACAGTCGGTAGTGTGGGGAGGAAATGGTAGATGATGGGTAGCAGAAACAAAGCAGAATGCATTCGTGAAGGGAAAGGAACAAAGGAAATGTGAAATCTTCACATAAGTGAGCAGGGAAGGAAGGATTGGAGATAGGAAGAAAGTGGAACAGAACACTGAGAAGGCATTGAGCCACCATCACACCAGAGGCTGAGCAACAGCATGGCGCAACAGGAGGGATGGAGTGGAAGGCTAAAATATCGACAGGGGGAACAAATGCCTGAATTTGGTCTACAGAAGCTGCAAAGTCCAATGCTCCTTTTATCTGTGCTCCCTGTTTAGCATGCTGCATGTTTCAGTGAGTTCTCTGTCCCCAGAACCTGGCGTGTTCCCATGTCTCCAAACCTCATATTCACACGTAGTTGCAGGGCTGGAAGATCCTTCTTTCAATTCAAGGCAGTCTTGAAAAGAACTAGAAGTTGTAATTCTTGTTTGACAGCAGAAACTAAGTTTGAACACAGGAATAAGCATCACATACAGAAGGTTTGAGCTTTTGCTAGAGGAGATCTGGAAAGCAGACCATCAAGCACAGACTGGGATACTTTGGTGTTGTTGCAGTGCTGCAGTTAGAACTCATAGGGATGTCAAAGGCTGTAAAGAAGTTGGGCAAGTAAAGTCATTCTTCCTTTTCTTCTGACTGCACACAGAACTTTGTGTGTCGGATCACACAGTGATGGCTGACTGGTGGTGCAACGAGGGAGGCTGCTGCTGGAAATGCCTTCCTGCAAGTCTTGTGGGTGCAGAGCTCTCTGGCCACGCACGCATGTTGCAGCGCAGTCCGTCTGTCTGCCTTGCCCCTGCTTCAGGTGTGCAGTGCCAACCGTGCCTGGCTGGTGCAGTGTGCAGAGAAGCTGACATCGTGAGCTGAAAGCTCAAAGGCAACGGATGAGGACAAGGGCCCAAACAAATCACTCGTGTGAGATGTGGGTATTTAAACTTTAGTTTTAACTTGTGATCAGTACATGAGATCTGTAGTTTAGCAAGTGGAAACACATGGCAATGAAGATTTTGATTTTGCTAGAAGCGTACTGGTCTAATTTGATGTAGAGCAGTGGAGGAAGAGATGCATTAATGTGTCTGAGGACATCCTAACCACTGAGAAAGCAAAGTGTACATTTGTACTGTTCTGATTATGGTATATTTTCCATGAGTTCAGTCCTTTGTTCGTAGAAAGCACAGAGTGCTGAATGGAAAAAAGTAGTGCATTGTTTCCAGAGGTACAATAAAAATCTGTTTCCAGTGGGCCCAAAGCTGACATTCTCGATGAGGAGAGGGCACTGTAAAATAGTTCCAGAGCCCAAGGGTGAGCCCAAGCGTAGAAAACAGCTTTGTAGTTTGGATTACAGTCATTAAGATGCAGATCTGGTAGTATGCCTGTATATTAAATGTGTACAGATAAATGTGTATGTATATAACAATACCTATCTATACAATATTTGCATGAATAAGATTAAATTTGTATATTTTCAGGGAGTGTGTGTCTGCGTTACCAAACAAGAAGAGCAATTTTCTTTCCTCCCATTGTTTTTTTTTTTCTTTTGCTTCTGCATTTTCAGAAATCCCTCACACTTAAAAAAATCCCTTCAGAGAGATTTTCTTGCTCAGATATCACCGAGTGATATTCAGGCATAGCTAGAGTCTTAAAAGCTGGTTGTGGCTTATTATATTTTAAGGAGTACATTTTAATTCTTTCAAAACGTTTGCTACTTTGAGAATTTCAGCAGTGTTAAACTGAGAATCCAGGCTGATGTGCATTAGTTGTAAACCAAGAGAGTTGGCAGTTAACACGTCATGTAACAACTGTGCTTCAGCTTGTGTTATGCATCCAAAATACAGGTCCGTTGTAAATGAAACTCCTAAGAATTCCTTCATAGAATTGTAGGAATCTGCTGCTTAAAGTCATGAAGCTCTCAGAATAACAGTATTTCTAGGGAGTGAAAAATAAAAGGACCAAACCCTCCGCTGGTATGGACTGGTGGAACACCGCTGACTTCATGGGAGCAGTGTGGATTTATACTGGAGGATCTGCCAAATATGTATGAAGTATGCCTTGTGGGTAATGTAAATCAGAGGTGATGTGTTGTGCAGATTGATCTGTAGACTGCATGTCATAAAGTCCCAGTTTCTACTGAGGTAATGTGATTTGCGTATAAGGAAAGTCACACTTTAGTTATGAAAATAAAACTACATTTGCATATATATTAAGTAATTTAAGGAAAAGAATGGAGACCCTTCTAATAAGGTTCAGAAATACAGTGGAAGACTGTTGTTTCAACAGAACATGACTTAGCCATGGATTCCCCATTTGTACTGAAATTCATTAAAATGATGAACATCAAACAAATAAAATATCTGCCTTTCAGGAACCACTTTACAAAATGAAGCAATAGTTAATTTGGAAAAACAACAACAAAGTTGTATATAAGTTTGGAGGATTAATTTGAAGTATTAAGTACAGAGAAGTGGAATAAAATAAATCCCTATGGATAGTTAGCACTGGAATAAATGTGCTTTCTTTTGTAATAAGGAAAGGTCCAAGGTTTTCACTAAACAAATTTGCAGGACTATAATTAGAATGCAATCAACACTTAAATATACAACATTTTTGGACCTGATAAATATCTTTATAATCACACACTGCATTTCATAATTTAGAGATCATAGGTAAGCTTGGGTCACCTTATAGCTTCTGCAATCCTAGTGCTTTCCTTTCTTCTGTCATTGGATAACCTGCCAATTAAATATGAGTAATCTAGGCCACTACAGAATACACTTCCCACTGCGCTGAGAAGTAAGAGTTTACTGTCATCAGCTGATGCATTGCACAATGCTCTCCGAACTTCCTTCATGATCTGTGGATAAAGAAAAGTAAACAATTCGACATGCATGCCGTTGCAATATCATTTCCCTAGTTTTACAAACCTTACTGATCTTGAGAGACTTAAATTTTGGGCACTATTAATATTTACATCAACTATATATATATTTGCATCATTTGAATAGAATGATAACACTGAGAGTTTACAAAATATTTTATCTTTGGAAGTGCTTTGTAGATGCTTACTAATTCAAAGAGTTTTTAGGATTTGGCTTGTTCTGTGGGAAATTCTAGCTAGCTTACGGTATTTGCAATTTAATAATTTCAAATATGACTTTTTTTTTTTCATAGTTTATATTCACTGAACATCACTATATCCTCTGTAACACGATTACCACAGCAATAGCCTATAAACCTCACCCAGTTGTAAACAAGATCTGCAAACCCCATTTTTTCAGTTCTTCAACTGCTTTGGTTTATATGGCATGAATCAGAGCAAGGCAGGACAAGAGGACATCATATACATCGACATGACAGGTATATTATCATTTTTCTGTGGTCAGTGACACTGTTATAGTCTACAAAAGTTAAAGCAAAAAAGCCACTGGGGAGAGACACATTTTTACACTCTGATTTAGAACGGGATCGAGCTATTAATCGCATCATAAATCGAGCTAATCAAAATCTGTACAGAACTGAGCTGCAGTTGTTGTAAGGAAATGGCTCTGCGTCTGAGTACAACTGCTTTCCTAGTGATTTTTAAAAGGAAATACTATTTCATGAAATTCTGGTGGCAACTCCTTGTGACGATTCAGCACAGTTTGGAAGCTGTGATCGATTTAAGCAATCTGAGCTGCCCCTCTGCAGCGAGCTGCTCTTCACACTTGAGTAGGGCCATCACTGCACCTGGTGTGACGCGTCCTGCCCTCACACACACTCGTGTCTCAAAGTACTTCCTTTACACAGGACCCCGCTGAGTCAATCTTTCTCATCTGTGCTGAAAGTTAATTTTGGTAAAAGGCAGCAAAATGTGGTTGGAGATCAAATATGGTTTCTGCGTAAGAGAAAAATACGACTGCTCGCTCGTAATTATTTCTGTTCACTGCTTTCTGTTTCCAAAAAGTTCTTAGCTCTCTCAAGTGCCATATTTAAGATATGTCCCTAAACCCAGAAGAGAAGTTCAGGGCAGACCCTCCTGCTCCTCTCTACAACTCCCTCTAGGAGGTTGTAGCAGGGCAGGCGTTGGCCTCTTCTCTCAAATAACAACCATAGCATGAGAGGGAATGGCTTGAAGTTGTGCCAGGGGAGACTCAGGTTGGGTATTAGGAAACATTTCTTCTCAGACAGAGCAGTGATGCAGTGGCACAGCTGCCCAGGGAGGTGGGGGAGTCATTCAGCACCCATGGAGGCGTTCAGGGAACGTGGAGATGTGGCTCTGAGGGATGTGGTCAGATGGGATGGGTTGACAGTTGGACTTAATGATCTTAGTGGTCCTTTCCAACCTTAATGAATACATGATTCTACGATTCTATGATAACTAGGTAGGCTTCTGTAAGGATTCTTGTGGCTTCTGAGAGCAATTTTGAGAGTACAATGCTACCTGGCTGTTTTCCATCTGTCTGCATAAACCCCCTGCTTGTAACTGGCTGCTGGGTCTGGCACATGAGAGCAGGTGGTGCACTTCTCCTTGCTTTGGTTTACAGATGCTCTTCAGAACTTCTGTACTGACAAATATGTGACAATGTGTGGAACCGAAGCAATGGGAAGTGAATTTGAAACTCTTGTGCAGGTACAAAAATGCCATTAGGAATGTTACAAGCACTGCTTATTCTCAGAATCTCAGAGGGTGTCTCAGTCCCCTCTTGGTAGAAACAGAGGCACAACTGCACATTCTGTAAAGAGGAAACGAAGGCAAAAAAAAGAAACAACAAAAATCCTCTGTCCAAAATTGAAAAAGAAACTTGAGAAGGTGGTGAATGTTAGATTTAAAAAAAAAAAGATTTTTCTAGTTACATGTGAATGCAAGATCACCTTAGTTTATTTTAAATGTCCTCAAGATCTGCTCTTTCTTAGGGAAGATGTATAAATAATGTCAGACAGTAACAGTCAAACATTTTTATATTTTATATATATTTATATATATTTATATATATTTATATATATTTTATATTTTTATATACAATGGGGAGTTTGCTTTAAATGTGATGCCACGAAATGGTACTTCATTCAGCAACTTTCTCTTCTGTGCCCCTTCTCCCAAGGACATCTGCTTATGTACTATCTCTTTGATGATACCATTGCTGTCCTTCAAGCACATAATTACCTTGACAAGCTTCTCTTTTTTACCTTTCCCCTCATTGATTTGGATGGCAAAAGCCATCTAAAAGTTCACCCATCAGCATTAGGAGCAGAGGCTATACAGCTGGTAGGAAGAGACAATATTCTGCTAGTGCTGTTTTTTCAGTGTTTTGGAGAATGATATTAAAGGTCCATTATTAGGAATTGATTTCCGTGCTATAGTGGAAAATGGGAAGGCTTTGATAGTATTCTGAGTTGTGCTGCTGAGCAGGATTGGAAATTTATTTCCACTGCTCCACTACTTTCTAGAAATAGAAAACAGCGTGAGAAAACAGAAAAAATGAATGTAGCAGTGTTTTAGATCTCCAAAAGTTTTGGAGAGGGAGGATTGGGACAAATGTCTGTGAGCTTGTTAACTTCATCATTAAATTCAGAAGCTCACTGAAATACAGTGTTCCTTTGCCTGTGCAGACCAAAGCTCACCTGGTTATCTTGTCACTCCACCTATTTACATCCACCCTGCTGTCTGCTATGGCTCCAAATGCCTTCAGCATTGCTGCTCAGTAGTGTATGCACAGATATTTCCTACAGGTGTTTAAATGATTACAGTAAAGCTACTAACAATAAAATAAGATAAAAGAGAGAGTTTGGCTTTAGGGTTACAGAACCATGTACTAAACTGCATTATTCAGTACATAACTTTGGCTCAGAACCTGCTGTCTGTGTTTAAGTAGAATTTCCATGTAACGCAGCAAGGAATTCAGCTTACACATACAGAGATTCTATGTGGTTTTGGTCACATTTATCAGATTCCATGCTTTTGGTTCTTAAATCTTCCATCATTTTGGTGTAACTATGGGATTTGTCCCACTTGCTTTTACTTTCAGTAGTAGACTAAAATGACTATTAGCAGGGCTCCACAGCAGTACTCTTGAGTATTTAAAATTATTAGTGTGAACGTGATTATCAATAATTACATTATTTTATTTATATTAATATTATGAGTAAGCAATAATTATAATTATTTATATTAATTATTTAAATGATTCCACTTCTTTTACATCAGTATGCTAATAATTCTTAATATAAATCATAAGTTATTCTCAAGCTTCTTTTAATTAGCTTTTTTAATGGCCTTTTAGGCAGTTCTCAGTTGTGGGGCAGTATTTTTATTTGCATTTATTTTACGAACATTTCTGAAGCAGCATTTAGAAAACAATGCGGGCCAAAATCTATCAAGTTCCAAATTTAGACCAGCCCTAATGCTTCCCTTACTGTTTTATTGGAGCCCAAGTACACAATAAAATTATCACTACCTTAAAAGCTGCTTGTTTTTTAATCCCGTCAAGAAAACAAGTTGTTAGTTCTTTAATAGGACCTCGTACTGCAGAATAAACATAAAATGTTTAAAGATTTCATTAAACTTCCCAAAGCTGATTTCAATGCCTTTCCCAGGACAGAGGAAGTTTTAAAAGGTGTTTGGTGCCCTTTCCTTTCAATATTGCTTACATTCCAGGGAAATCAGGAAGCTGGGAACTTATCGCCTTCATTGCACAAAGTATCTTGAACAGAAGTCTCTTGTTCGTAAGAACAGGAGTGCAGGTTTAAAAGGTTAACTTCTCTGAATCGCTCAGGATTTACTACTGATTTCTTTAAAGGCAAATACTTTGTAAATATTGCAGTAAAGCAAAATTTTAAAGCCATTCAGTTGTGTTAGAGCCTCCACCATTGTGCCTTTTTACATATGGACACCTTTTGTTACCGACTGCCTCTTTATGCAAACAGATCTGAGTCTGTTCTGTTTGACAGACAGGAGCTATGAACCTGCAAGAGCAGCACTGGGAGTAAGGACTGGCCAGTGAAATAATCTCTCTCTGTATGAGAGCAAAAATGCAGAAAACAGCCACGTTTTATCTTTTTTCTTAAGTTGTAGGTAAGAAGTGAAGGCAAGCCAGTGCTCCAAAATGCACCTGGTAGAACTTTCAGCCCTTTAACTCTTATGGCTAGAAACTTGAAACCTGACTGTTCTATGTGAAGTGGTACTTGCATCAGTCTTGGATACAAACATTAACTGCTAGGGCTGTTTTGATTCTCATTCAGTGGAGTGTTAACTCTATATTTAATACTATAAGGTAAAAAAATAGTGGGTGGATCCATTTAATATTAAGTTTGAAACAGAACTTGGATCCTCGCGACGCGCTGCGTTACAGCAGCACCGACATCAGTGGAGAATGTACTTCAGAAGCAGCAAAAGACCTCTGAGAGAAAATCTGCTAAAATGTGCGACTGGAAACTGTAATGATGGAATGGTTTGTGTATCTCTTTTCGAAAGGAATGTTAAAAGCAGCAAGCTTAAGCCATTGCAATAGAAAAAGAAGCCATACCATTCTGTGACACCGGCCTGAAAGTTTTATAAGGTCTTAAAATGTAAGAAAGGATTTCGACAGGCCCTGGACATTTGGTAGAAAAATCTCAAATGCTGTAATGGCAAAGAGCCAACTTCAGTGGGTGCAAATAGTGCTGGAAGAGCATCGGCCCGTTTTGTCACCTGCACAAACCCACAGGTGTGCTGTGGTTACCAAAATGTCCAATGAAAATGCAGGCAGCCTTTTCTAAGCTGAGTTTGATTTTGTAGCATGAATAGGCTTCATGCCCATAAGTGCAAGTGATAAATTCATCGTGTAGGAAAAGATCTGATTTTGAGTCAGCTTTGACATGCAAACGCTGTGCCATAATTCTAAATATGTTAGTTGTTTTAATTACATTGGCATAAATGCTAGAGGGGATGAACAAAACTATTAGATTTCATGGGTAGATTTCAGTAAAACACAAAGGGAAGCAGGGGTGTTCAAGAGGTAGAGTGATTTTGTATGAGGTTAATTTTGTAATGACTGTGGGCAGTGCACACCTTTTTGTTTCCTGCCGTGGACGGCTGTGAACTGCCAGCCTATGATGTTAACCACACCAAGGAAACCCACTCTCAGTAAATTAACCATTTTGGATTTGGCAAACGTCATTTACTGAGCATGTGATCAAACTTAAAGTTAGCGTTTCTTTTGGCAAGATGGAACACTTGCTTACATTTGTGGGGGTTCCGTGTTTGCGCCTTTTTATTACTCAGGGTTCACAGAAGGTGTCACAACTAAAACTGTTCTTAACTTCCTTGAACGACTCTGTCAGTTTGCCTTAGCTGCGGCTGTGGCGACAATCCGCAGGACGAGGCACTCAACATGTTCCTCCTGTCAGTGTCTCGATTTTTGTGCTGCAGTGGCCAACACTGGAGGTGCTGGGTTTCATGGTGTGAGTGCTCAGGGGCTGCTCTCTGGATGGAGGCCAAAGGAGCAGTCTCATGTTTGCCAGCAATTGGCCGTCAGAGGGGAACAACTTCCAGTTGCTCTCAGCCTGGATAGGTTTTAAACAGACAGTCTAAATGTGGAGAGCTCATTAGCTTGATTAATTCCCGACCATCCAGCTTCTGGTCAGCAATGCAGCTTTCTGAAATGTGTTTTCTCATTTTCAAATGAACTTCCATAAAGATTCTAGAGATGGCCAAATGTGGTGACACAAGAAGAGGGCTATTACATGCTAATCATTTCTGCTCATGCAGAGGTGGGCATCTTGCATGCTGTCAAAGAATGAAATGGATTGGTTTGGCAGACCTGAAGAGCTTGAGCTCATTCACTGGTTAGTGCATCTGAACACTGCTGATGTGGAACTGCACAACAGCAATGAGAAGATATGTCTGTTCAGCCTGAGAAGAGCAAGCCCTTGATTTCGTGCTTTTTTTCAGGCCCTTGGGCTCTTTCTTTAAATTACCTGCAGTGTTAATTAGTGGCAATTAATACATGGATGGAATGATGGATTTGATGCAATCATCTAATGTGTTTTAAGGAGCTAGTATTAAAAGCAGGTATTTGGTGTTCTGGGTTAATTACTGAGATAGTCTTTTTTAAACATTAAATAGTTTAAAACCTAGGAGTGATAAATGTAGGTACTGACAGTTTAAAACAAGTTCTGTGTATTAATGCCCATGTGTTTGTGTGCATCTGGGAAGGTGGAGTCAAATTAGAGCCCATCATGCCTGCCAGTGGTTTCATCTGAAGCTCACTGTAAACAAATTCATTTAAAATTTACTCAGTTTCTTACTGAATAAAATAATCCCTGGAAGTTGCAGCCTATGTTTGCATCAAATGGTGCTCACACAGATAGCCTTAGTGTGAAGTTGCTGCCCTGGGATGTCTGGTAGGCAGAAAAGGGCAGCCTGCAGAATGCTTTGACAGCCAAACTGGTGACGGGAGGCAGCTCCTACAGCTTCTCCTTGGATGTATGGCAACTCTTTTCCATCAGGCCATTACTGCCTTCGTGGAACAGGATCAAGCATGTTGTCTGCTCTCCAAGACATGCATCCTGGTGCAGGCATTTCTTTACACTCCTTTTGCTGTGACATAGAAAGTGAATACCACAGCATTGCTGAGATTATGAGGAATGGAGGGAATGGCTCCTCAGCCCTTCCTGTGACTGTTGTATGTACTTGAGTAGTACAAGCTACAAGTCTGACCCTAAGTGTGTCTTGTTGTGAAACTAGGGAATTAATTAGTACCATTTATATATTGAACATCTTTATGCAATTCAGCTGGGAACAGAGCCCTTAATTGGCAAAGATTTCATAAATAAAGATTCATAAAGTGATTTAGAAAACCAGCAATTAGGGATCAAGGTATACTTTTACAATTTCTCTTTCAGAATATAGCCTCAAATACCTCCCTATGCAACAACTGGAGCACTATTTAAATAAGTACGAGAGAGACTAGATTTCACTAAAAATGGCATATATCAGCAACTTCAGCACGGGAACATCTGCTTCACACAACTCCACGCTGGAAATGCGGACTGTCTTTCCTCTCCTTTGCTCTGCTTTTCAGTTTCAGACATGTCAATTCAAAAATAATTTCCATTGCATTCTTTTTCATAGAAATCCCAAGCATGGAAAAGCTAGATATGTCTGAGCTCCAGACTTTCTTTTCTAAGATAGTCAATTAGGATAAAGAGACTTAAAATACTCAAAATTCAAAGGCAGTGTTTCCAACATAACCCGCACATTAGGATGGCTCTCTTTGGCTTCTAAAGCTACATGCTTACCTCTGGGGTCAGTGCATTGTTATCTGAAGTCTGACTCGACAGCAGAATATGTGTGAAACCATCTTCTTTCCGCACCACAATGTCCCTGAAGCGGCAGTTACTTTCATTTTGACGCACGCTGTATCTCAGTCTCTTATCGAAGACATAATCTTTCTCCCCATCTAGTTTCCTTTTCACAGTGCTGTGTAGATTCAGGCTTCCATTGGCCAGAGAAGAACCTTTCAGATTGAAATAATCAGAACATAATTATGCCCATACCTTCAAAGAAATTGACTCATACTTTTTATTAGCTTAAACATAAGGTGACATTTTACAACAGCCTCTATATGATAAATTTGGTAAATCAAAAGTATGCCTGTCTCGTCAAATGTGGGCTCAAGCCATTCTTATTATTCCCTAGAGCTTTACTCTCCAACTTTTTTCTTTTTTTTCTGATCAGACAAGCACTAGCTCAAGTGAATTATATTATATATAAAATACATATGTAGGGCTGGTACTCTATGTTGCATTCAGTTCTACTTTGAAGATGAAAGCAGTTATATCATGGTCCTTATCACTTTGGGATGATCACTGAATTTTGTACAAAATTCTAATTCAGCTTTGGATGAAACTTGACAAGTTTTGTCCATATCCAACTTTCAAAGTTATATTTACTTCCTTTCATGGTGACCAAAAAGTCATTACAGAATGGTAATTTTAACACAAGTTCTCTCCTGATGAACATCTGTGTGACAGCAAGGGAAGTTCTCACTGAGCAGACAGCTACCTCACCTGGCATTCTTTTCTCTGCCCACTTGGTTAGCGTTAGAAGCTGCAGTTAGCTGTCACTGCTGTGACCCCAAGCTTTTCCTTATTACATTTTACAGTCACAGTAAGCTGACTTTCACCTTTTAATATTGGTCTTTGTACACTGAAAGGATTAATGCTGATGCTATTTTGGAAGGTATCCAGCGTCAGGGAAAAAATGGAACCATGAAAAGAAAGATAAAGCTCCTCCTTAAACACAAATGAGAGTAATAGCAGCTTATTCTGTCAAAGCAGTTTATTCTGCCTTACACTTTGTGTGACCTATATATTATTACCTTGCTCATCCTTACAGTTCTGTTGTTATAGGCAATGTTGGGACGCTAAGAATATCTTTACAGGATGTTTATGCAAGAATTCCTTTTCTAATTACAGATGTTTCAAGCTGCTGGTATTAAAAGGAAAGCAGGGACAGGTTGTTGAGAAACAGAAATTAAAGCCACTCTGTTCACTGAAATACTTTCCAAACTCGTTTCAACTTGGTGATTGCAGAGGTGACTGAACATTTGCAGTGGCCTGCAGAATCACTCACAGTATGTGAAATGCCCACACATACACTGCAATTATCACACGTGATGCTAAAAATATGTAGAGTGCTTATTAGTATTCAACTGCTGTGTCATTTGGCTTCTTCACATAATGAGCGTGATGTGTCTACACATTTATCTACATGTAGAAATGCACATTTGTTAAGAAGTCTGCTACTTCACAAAACTCTAGTTATATTAAGAGATCCCATCCAAAATATTGCCCTATTATATTAAACAGAGGATTTAAATGGTAAAGAAGTTAAAAAATCAGAGGCAAGAGTGAACACAAAGTGGAGATGTGTTGGGGTAACTGTACTGATAGCTGGTGTTGAAGGTTAAGCCACACCTGTTTCAAATACAGATGCGAAGAGAATGGTAGATTAATTTGCACAGATGATCCAGCTCAACCAAAAGCCTCATAGAAATATTTCCTTTCTTTTTTTTATGTTGCATTCTTCTTTGCTTGAGGAATGTGTTCCGTTTGTAAATTAAATAGATGATGGAAGAAATGATAAATTTTATCATAGTATTTTAATTGTATGCCAGCTGACAAAAATGTAACTGGGGTCATGCAAGATCTAAATTAAGTATGACAGGAACATACATGGAGAAGTGTCATTTCCAAGGATGGATGGTTAACAGAACAATATACAGTGAGTAAATCGTCTCAGTGTATACAGAGCATCCCAGTAATCTCGCTTAATCTGATAAACTGGACAAAATGATCAGGAAAATCCAAAGACAAAAATCAAGTGAAATCAGGCCCCTTTAGAAGGTCTGTTGCGTGGATGTGATGGAGCTTCTGACGGCTTGCTGTAAGGCATCCAACTGCTGTTGTGAGAGGTTTAATAGTTAGCACCTGCTGAATGCACACAAAGGTAAACAGTACCTTTGCATGCCAAGATGAAAAATGACTGTGACAAAGGAAGAAAGAGGCCGTCACCAAGTAATCTGTCATGCATGCGAAATGAATTAAGGATGTCACAAATTAACTAAGGAAGCTTTAGGTACTTCTAAATGTAGTTTACCAGCTTAGGAAGGACTACATGATGCTCAGTCTAAGTACAAATAGAAAGCAGAAAATAATCCTTCCTTTAGAAGGAGTTTAATCTAATTGTTACTTTGTTTTTAACTGCTAGTATGACTTGGGAAGGTATCTAAACATGTATCTAGAAGAAGTTTCAGTATCTTTAAGGAAAAATAGGATATTCCCAGGCCACTGGTGCCATTTCCAAGAATGGCAATGAAGGATGCTATTTGAGGAGACATCCCAAGCCTGGCCATTTTCTGCAGTCCTTTCCCCTGGTATCATCCCTGCATGTCGTGCAGGAATATGAGAAGATTCATCCTTCGTGTTTCCTTCAGTATTTGACTGTGGACCTTTGCATGGATTTCTCTAATCCCTTTTTGAGCCTGTTGATGCCGTCTGTCTCCTCAGCCTCCTGTGGTCTGAGTTTGAGAAGTTTAGTAACCACTGCAGAGGGAAGAATTTTCTTTCATCTGCGCTTTTATCTGATGATCCACCAGTTTCACCAAGTGGCCCCTAGTTCTGCTGTTGAGGGATTTAGGAAATGACAGTTCTGCATTTATTTTACTGGAGGCCTTGATGATTTTGTCAACTTTGATCCTATCCCCTCTCAGCCTGCCCCTCCCCACACTGAAAACTCTTTTAGTCCTGTAATCCACTTCACCACTTCAGTCGCCTGTCCCTGTTCTTGTCTAGCGTTCCACTGCCATCAAATGAGAGGAAATGCAGTGATGTTACTGTTACTGCTGTTGGTACTGGAAGGTGCCTGAAGACTCCAGACTGAGTCTGGGCCTCTGTTGTACTTGGCACTGCAGAAAACAGATTAGAAATTTAGAATCTAAGAAGATGAGGTAGGCAAAGAGTATGAAAGGAGAGATCTGGTTCACCTTGTAGGCTCAAGAGTACTAAAACTGGTGCCAGGGAAGGGAGGGAATAATGATGTTGTGGCAAGAAGGTCTGGACTTCTCCTTTTATTAGCAGCGTGCATTTATGTTAAATGAAAAGTCCCACACATTTCATTTTTTGTAGGTGAAATAAAACACGTTCCTTTCTTCTCACTGGTAGAAGAGTTTGGTATTCCTGTCAGCCCAACAGCCTTTCTCTGTCTCTTTTCTGTATTTCTTGTGGGCAGTGTTAATACTGTACACACTTAATAACAGTGTTCTGGTGATAATTTACCAATACTTTCAGACTTCTCCAGCTAAGGGAGCATCTGTAAGATATCTAAAGCAATGGGTTTTTATCCAAACTGAGAAAGCAAGCATATTTGGCTGTCTTTTACTGCCAGTACATCTCCAGAATAAATAAAACTGAACAAGCTAAAAAAACAAGAAGAAGCAATGACTAAGTTCATAGAGAATATTTAAATCAAGGGCACCATGAGACTACAAAGATTTCTGTAATGGAGAAAAACAGTGGTTAGTGATACATGACAAGCAAAAATTCTTCAGCAGATGGTACAGAAATAGAGCTGTGTAGAAAAGGAAAGAAAATTAAAAGCGGATGTTTCTTGATGCTGTCAAGAAACCTGACAAAACAATCACTCGCAATTACAATGTATGGAGAGAAATAGCAACGTGATAACAGAAGGCAACAAATGTCATCAGAAGGAATGCTTTTGTTAGCTCCTGGGAGCATTGGTGGATGTTCTCCTGCAGAGGTTTTCAGCATTTTCCAATTTGCAGACCCTTAAATAACTGCCAGTAAAGATGACATTGCTCTCCTGATGAAGGGAAGTGTAGATGTCAGGAGAGGGGTTTTGATATAAAAGAGCTCTCCTAACTTCCGTGTATGAGAGTGCCATCCCCCTGTGATGCTGTAAATAGAATTCTGTGCGTACATCCGTACATCTGCATTCATCTCTCTGGGGTGAATTGCTTGTTTGTGAGAGTTGTATCTGTGCTTAAGCAGGAAACAATTACCCATACCCACGTAGACGTATACATACCAAACATCTTCATCTCTAGAACTGAAAATTTCTAAATATATTTTCAGTCCGTTCATCCACTTAACAGCGAGAGGAGGCTGACATTCATTTGGGCTTCACATAGGCAAACTCAAAACAGACACAGATGTCTGTTTGGTAGGATGCTGCCCGGGGCTGCCCAGGAGCCGTGGATTCCAGGAGCCAAACCCAGGCTCTCCCGGCTCCGGCTGTGCACTGCATACAGCGCCGGGAGCCCCGTGAGTGCTGGTGGGGCACGCCGGGCTTTTGACTTCCAGACTCCGTGGCAGACAGCCCGAAACCTCTGGCACAGCTGGCTGCCTCCGAGCTGGAGGCGGGAGAGCCGCCAAGCAGACGGCCACAGAACTGCAGGTCTCGGGGGACAGAGCGTGGGGACCTTGGCTCGGATTTGGAGAAAGTTTTGAAACCCAAGATGATTGAAAGAAAACTTCTGTTATTCAACACATGGGCATTTTTCTCTCAAAGTTTCTTCATTTGTAATTTGTAAAATTTCAGGCTAGTTTTAGCGTGATGTCTGCCCTGCTTAAAGTGATACTGCTGGGCATGTGGCAGGGTCACACCGGCATCTACTGTGAGTGTGAATGCTGGGGGAGGTCAGTGAAGTGCAGTAAGTGGTGCCAGATTCTGTGATTTGACATTTCAAATAATGCAAAATTCCGTATCAGGAAACATGATTTCTCAAGTTTAGAGGGCAGCGTTAAGAAAAAAGGCTGGTGTTTTTCTTTAGAGCCTTTTTCACTATTGCTGCTTGCTCTGGCTTTGGTAGTCTCATTTCTCCTCTTTGTAATTTTACCCACTATGCATGTGCTGGGGATCACAGAGAAAGGCTGGAGGGATTTCTGACTGTGGTATTGCTGCTGGGTATGGTTTTCTTAGAAGAGGACCGGATTGGGAGTCACAGATCTCCTGCCTTCAGGGAAGTCAGCAATGCAAGAGCTGCACACATCAGCCACAAGGCAGGAGCTCCAGCATGGCCAAACACGGGGCTGCTTTCTCCCAAAACTGAGTGCTCACAGGGGACCTTGCTTCTGTGTTCTGTGGGGACAAACAGCAGCTCATTTGACCTTAGAGTTCTTTAGTCCTTAGCTTAAAAAAAATAAATAAATCTACATATAGGAATCAATGCTGTGAAAAGATGCATTTTGTAACAGAACTTCCTCAGTGAATAACACAAAATATCTGTGGTTAGGTATGTAAGACTGTTTAGAGGAGCACCTTACTTTTTAAGCAGGCTCACATGAGCTCAAACTGAAGAGGCAATCTGAAGTGTCACTGGCATCATCTGGGCTACTTACACGTTCACAGCTGACTGTATATTCAGGTGTATCTTCAGTGAGGCAGCTGATGTCTGTGTTACGAGCCGCCAGCCTAAGATATAACTAGTAAGACTGGGCCAGGCAGCTCTGCTTCCCAAGGCAAGGGGAGTTTTTTAGGTTGCTGGTGGAGTGAAAAATGGAAAGCTGGGTGTTATAATTTATGTTGACTTCTGAAAAGTTTTTGGCCAGGCGATTCACAAGAAGCTGTTAAGGAAATGAGCGCTATCATGGGCTATGGAAAGTGGCTAATAAAAATAAATAATTGGAACAAATGGTTACTTTTCATCATGTCAAATGATTAGTAGTGGCTGCCCCAAGGACCTGCAGAAGGATTAATTTATTTAATGTACGTATTAATGAACTGAGAAGAGAAGTATGAGAGGAAATTTTGAAGAGAATACCAAATAAGTAGAGTAAATACTATGAAAGATTTTGAAGAGCTCCAGTGAGTCATAACAAAAAGGTGAATTGGCAGCAGTAAAGCAGATTAAATGCATAATGAAAGGAATCATACATATAGCCGTGCTCTAAATTAACTGCAACTGGAAGGGAAAAGTAACCAAGAACAACTGTGTATCACTCAATGAAAACCTTTATGCAGTGTGTAAGAGAAGAAAAAATAATACTCAAAAGTTTGTTTTGCCACTATATCAGTAAGCAGTAGGAAATCATTTGGAGCAGCTCCTGCTGTTTTTAAAAGGTATTTGAAAAAACACACACACCAAAAGCAAAGGTCAAAAATAAGCCCATGAAAGCAAAAAAATAAAGAAATACAACCAAACATTCCAAAAGTTGATCTAATAGGATGTCATGTATGGAAGTTTCTGCTAAAAAGCACATCTACACTGTGAGTTTGATAGGCTGAAAAAAAAAGATAGGATGTACCTAGATAATGAGAAGATAGACAGTTGCATTAAACTGCGTAATACATTGCAGAGAACATAAATTTATGTTCTCTGATTATTATTTGTGAATTGAGCCAGTCAGTAACTATGATTAGAAATAAACTTTTCCTGTAGTCAAATCATCTAGTTCACTTCAAGGCTGTCTATCTTCCACTAGAGAATGTCTTGCAACTTCTCACATCTCTAGTCAATGGCAAAGGTGAGAGTCTGGAAAATCTGATGATTCGTCAATACTGAAAAGCATTAATCCTGAAGACCTTGAATGTTACTCTGGACGCACTTACCAGGATATGTTAGCAAGAGTGGTGTTAATTATACCATAAAATGGTTCTGATCTTTGTAGACCGTTAGGTTTGTGCACGTACAACCGCTCAGTGACTTGGCACTTGATAATATAGACAAACATAATTTCAGTGTAGGCATTCCTCAGCCGTCGTTCCTACTACATGCCTCGTCATCATGTCCTCATAAGAACTTTACACTGCAGTGCCATGAATAAAGCCCACCCCGTTTTGCCTCACTCCATAGAAAAGAGGAGGAGAGATGCTAACAGAAAAATGCCATAAGGAATTGGGAAAGGATGTGAAACTTATGTGCTTCTCACCATATCTCTTGTGTAGCATGACAATCACTATTCCAGGAGTGGACTTTGCAGTTTCTGCAATTAACCCCCCCTCAAAAGACTATGGTTGTTGAAATCACATACCAATTCCGTTCACAACAGGCGATTCATTACTAACTTCCAACACGCTGGGCAAATTTTGCTCTCCTTCATGATCATTTATATCCATGTTTTGCTGTTGTGAGCCATTCCCAAAATGTCTAGAATCCTTTTCATGACTGCCATCTCCATTCTGCAGACCATTCTGTGGCTTTTTCAGTGGCATGATCTGTAAACCGCTGGGAGTAGTTCGGTAAGTTACAGTTTTAGCAGCCCTGTCATTAGCAGATGCTGGCTTTGCTGCGTATCCTCGTTTCTGTTTTTGTAGAGAAGGATTAATTCTCTTCCTTTTGTGTGCTGACCCTTTTGCCTTCCCAGATTCAGAAGGTCTATGTGATATTTTCTCAAGAGATGACCCTCGGCTTTCCCGTAAAAATTTTGTAGTACTGGTCTGTTTTCCATGTCTCGATCGCTTTTCTCTACTGACGTGTAGTCCATTGAACTCATCAATAAATTCCTCACAATGTAGGAGATGATGTTCAGGTTCCCAAGTATCTTCATTGCTTCCGTAACCTTTCCATCTGATGAGATATTCCCACTTGCCCTTCTTGTTCTTCCTTTTGTCTACAATCCTCTCCACCTGAAAGAAAAAAACAAACAAGTATCACGTTAGACAGAAAAATACTCTGGTTGTGAGAAATATGTTCTTCGTTTGCAGCTACAAAGGCCTCCTTGACACTGTTAAGCAGCTTCAGTATTCATGAGATTCAGCCCCTACAATGCAGCGCCTAAAATCTGAAATGACTCTGACACTGAAAGCCTACCCAAGTTGGCCAAAATGCAGCAGCCTATTTTACTGATTAAAACTTATCTTAATTTCATAGGATGCAGTCCAACACCATATTCCCATTGGATCCTATATGGAGCGTGCTGACTGCTGATGAGAGTCTAATTGGTGTGTGTATAAACTGCTTGACATAGCATTTAGGAATTGGAGTTACATGGTTCTGTTTGACGAAGAATTCTCGTGAACAGACCTGGCAATACATGAGAGGAACGCCGTGGCCCCAGTGGTATTTTGACAGCAAAGCCTTTCTCCCTTCTAAAAACGTTAGGAAAAGATGTAAAATGCCTGATCAAATCTGATCTGGGAACCTGCAATAGCCAATGTGGGAAAAAAAAAACAAAAACAAAAAAACAAACAAGGGAGAGCCTAAAAATCTGTGGTGAAGCCATGATTTCATTGAAAATGTGTTTGTAAAATGAGTCTACTTTTGTTATATTCCTCAGCTACCTCTTGTTTGAAAGAGCTAGCCAAGGCATCTTCTGCTATACTGTTATTTCCTGATCATTCTCCTGAACCCACACATGGATTATGTACCTTTAAATGCCTTCTTCATGCCTTGAAACTATCCTGAACAGAGAACCAATTAGAAAAAAAGTCTATTTTCATTCCTGCAGAAAAGGACTACACTGGTCTGCCGTCTGAGCACGCGTTAATGGTATCACGTTGTGGAAAAGAGAAAGTGCAGCTGAAGAAATCTTTGTGCTGCCTCAGCACTGCAACATCTCAAATAGAGGGAGAGCATGCAGAGACACCCAAGCAGGGCTAGTGGTCTGTGTTGTCTTGTCAAAGAAACTGGGAGAGGTTTGTTCACTTCAGAGAAGAGGGGAAATGTAAGAATCTGAAGTGAGTTAAAGACAGATATGAAAAGATAGCTGTGATCCATTCTCTGTGCACTTGACAGCAGGTCGTGGGTTTAAACTGCATCAGTTGTAATGCAGATAAGCCATTAGGAAAATCTTTGTGATGGGAGAATGATTAAGCACAGAACAGGTAACTTTGGTGAAGTAGGGAGGGTTCTAGAGCAAGCAAGTTTTGTTAGACAAACACCTGCCATGAGCAGCCCTTGTTGGAAAATGGGCTATGGTTAGAAACCTTGTGTAGTCTCTCCCAAGTTTTGTTTTCTGATTAGTTTTTTTTACTTCTTGAAAATGCGGCTTATGAGGAGGAAGGACACCACCAGTATAAAAAAATCATTATTTTAAAACAAAAGTGCTGTTGATAACTTAGGAAAAATAAGCACATGGATAGCTACTGTATTATTTTTCATTGCTTGTCAAAGAAAAATCATCTCATATAAAGAACAACAGTGGAATCTGTTTGGAGCATTTAACCTTGAAGAAGGGCAATCACGGTGGTGTATGTGATTGTTCACTTTAGCTCCCCTGTTGGAGCAAACCAACAGAATAATTCTGTCTGTTCACTGGCTGGAACTGTACATTTATAGAAATCGAGGTGGGTTCCCCAAAGGAGTCTAAAAGTAATTAGCTTCCAAACGTTGTACTTCTATCCCAATTCATTTACATGGGAACATAAGATATCTGTGTCTGAATCAGACTGCACAGCTTTCCTCCATCTCCTGGGCACTCAACTGCAGCACCCAAACAACTCATCCTTGTGCTCTGTTTTGCACAGAGCCTCTCCAGAAGCAAAGTAAGGAATCATCTTTGTTTGGAATTTAGCGCAGTCCCTTTCAGGATTGCTCAGTGGCAGAACAATTAACTGAAGGCAAGTTTGAGATCATTTGTTTGAAAAGAAGAAGAGTACTCAGAAAAAATGAACTGCCACTTTTCTGTTCCTGTTTGGAGGCTTTCAGTTGTCAAACTCATAGACTTATGATCTTGATGGCTTTATATTGAGCAGCCGGCCAAATGATCCCTGCCTTTAAAATACTCCTTGTCCTCCTGACTAGCCGGTGAGACCCTACATCAAACTGTGGAACTCCGTGGTGGCCAGCGGTTGTCTGTGGGTTTGTTACTTTAATTACTGCAGCTCAGTATAACAAGGAGCAAAACACACACACATGTATCTAAATATATATAATGGGGAAAAAATTAAATAGCTGCAAAACTCAGTAGACCACAGCTATTACTGCTGCAGAGAATTCAGCTGAGCACTCCTCTATCTGTAAGAGCTACACAATGCAGGCACTTGCCTCCACTTCTATTGAGGAGCTTGTAGTTGGGAACAAACGGCGTCGGGTTAATGCTTTGTCAGAGCAACGTGGGTCTCGGCATTCCCCCACTTGCTTATCAAAGGAAGAACCTCAGAAAGGATGCACAAATAACTTGCCATTTTCAGAAATGCATATAAAAACAGCTCTTCAAGCTTACCTCTTTTCCCTCATGGACGTACAGGTAAGCTAATCCGAACCCTTTACTCATTTGCACATTGCTGTGCTGATACAAGGAGGGAAAGTGAAGGGAGGAGGTTCCTTGGAAAGCGTTCTTTATTTTGGAAAGCACTGAACTATTTTGGTGATGAGGCATTATGAATTTCAATTAAGAGAATGAAAGGAGGAAAAACATTAGTAGTCTTTGTTTCTGGAAACAAAATACTGGCAATGGAGAATGTGATTAACCCGTTCAAAACAACACATAGTGAGAAGTATTTATGAAATTGGGTCACATTTAATAAGTGGCTTCAGAAAAATTATCCAGTAAGCACATATATTTGGGAAAGACTAAGCATTTCATGACAGCATTTTCAGAACAAAGCCATGAGGGTTTCACTTCAAATTTAACTAAACGAAGAGGCACTGAGTAAAATACATTCAAATTTTTTGTTTCTGATCAACCCCAACTCTGTAAGGAGTTCAGTTTTGCCCAGCAAAACCATTCTGATAAATTGTTTTGCTGGGGAGAAAATTAAAAAAAAAATGCAGGCTGATCCGAAATTATTGTCATTGAGTTTTTTTGGTCCAGCCACCATAACCAGTGCCTTGACTAATGGTGTACACAGGTCTGAGCAGACATTTGTCTTGTTCTCACTACCATCTTCTTGCTTGTTCCTAGATGCATTTGTGGGTGGCATCAAACATCCCTGACCTCTCAACGTGGTCTCTTCTCTTTCTCAGGGCTTTAAGTTCTCCATCAATTTTTATCACTGTTGGAGTGCCAGTGTTCTTTCACTGCATACAGTGAAGTGCTTCAGTGTAAGCATAAATATCACTTTGTTATCCACACCTGGTACAGTCTGTCCCATTTTCCTTATATTCATGGTCCACAGTAATAATAAACATACCTTAGAAAATATATTAAATGATATATATTTGTTTTAACAGGTAATACTTAAAGTAATAACCTTTCTGCATTGACTTCAGATTACACAAGTTCCTATGAGTTTTCTTAATGAGAAATAATTCTGTGACAGCCAGTGATTAATAGAAATAATTTCATTCCCTTCCTAGAACAAACAATGCACAGTCTTGGGAATATGCAGAAAACACCTACGGCTTCACTGTCTGATTTTCCATTTTCCCCTGTTCTATCTTTAGTGAGAACTCAATAAAATCTTCCTGAAAGTGACCTTGGCAGTTACACCTTGCCAAATCTCTAAATTCAGTACGTTTGGGTTGGGAAACCAAGTAGTGATATCTAATAAAACTGAAATGAGTGCAGACAAAGTGTAACAGAGGGGTATCGCAGTGAAGAGAGTGCTAGAACTGACATATCCCATTACTTGCCTGGAATCTCTGTCTCTGTCTCTACTAATTCTGGAGACCTGGTGTGCTGATATGTTACTATATAAATATGTTTTAAGAGAACAAATAGAAGACCATAGAGCCTGTGCATGTGCATTTGCATCAGACTCTCTAGCTTCCAAGTAAACTTAGCAGTATGCACAATGGCAGAAACGAAGATAAAGTCATAAATGAACTCCTTTTGTTTAAATAATTAACATTCTAAACTCAATGTGAAATTTAAAATATCTCAATTGATTACAGTGCAAGTATGAGGAGCTTCAAGAACTTCATGATATAATCCAGTGATCAAGAGCTTATACATGCTGAGTATAATATACGGTTTCCTCCTTCACAAAAGTCTCAGGGTCAAACTCACCCACTGAACCACACAGTGTTATTGTCAACTTAAAGAAAAATGTAGGCCAAGTTAAAGAGGGTAATTCCTGCTGAAGTATTTCTGTAGATACACGTGTAAGATCAGAGCACAATATACTTATCTCACAGCTCACAGGAACGCTGCACAGCATCCGTAAAAAATCTTTATGCTCTCAGAAAATACCTTCCAGGAGGTATTTAGCAATTTCCAGAAAGGCCTGGAAGACCACATGTCTTCTTAGTCATTTCCAAAACAGTTACAAGGCATCCCTTCTATGTCCATGCATATCTATTTAAACAATTTAATGTCATCTGTGATGTTCAGACGGTCTTTTTTAGCGTACAGTACAGAGTGTGGACTGGTTTCAAGACACACTAGAAAAACTGCTTCTCATTACTCTAAATTACAGCACTCATACTGTTTTATATGTTGGTTTTTTTCTTTGGAGGTCTTTGTCCCATGTTGTGCCTCAGGCTGTTGGAAGGGATATAGATGGGTATTTGAAGAAGGCGCCAAGAAAGGCAGTAAGACTTCTGAGAGAGATAAATGCCATCTGATTCAACATGTTTGTTTTCTAAAAATTCATTACTGCCCTACCTACCTCCTTCTTCTTATCTTCTCTTAAAAAATAATGTATTCATTAGTTCTAAATCTCTTGCTTGCTTGTATATGTGACGTGTTTCTCTTGTAGTTTTATTTATTTTCTCAAAACCTGCTAATCAGAGCATTTGTTCCAGATGTATGAAAAATATGGGAAGGTATCTTCTGAAAGGGTCAGTTAGAAAAATAACGGTGGAATTAATGTTGGGTCTGATCCACCACTTTAAAACAGAGTAGATCCAATCAATGTCCCAGCTACAGATGCTCCCCAAGAATAAACTCATAGAGTTACCTGGAAGAAATGAAAGCAAAAGGGCTACAGAGTCATAAAATAAATGGGAAGATGTCCCTATTCACACGCAAAATATCAACTGACATCTCCCAGGAAGTTCAGTGAGCACCCTACCCTGCTCATGTCACGAAGACACTGCTTTTTATTCTCTTCCTTTTTTCTCTTCTTATGGATTTCTAGCTTTTTACAATCTTCTCAGGATCAAAGAGGCACCAAGCTTGCTAGTGGCATTCTAAGAGTTCCGTATTTTCACTGACAAACACCCATGAGCTTCAGGTTAAGCATGGTTGCAAACCACACGTCCTGCAACAGACACATGCAGACTTGAGATGGACCAAATACATGGCCTTGTCTTCTAGTTTTGTTCTTGCAGCTTCTCCTGTTCAGAATTTACAGTCCTCATACTCAGTCTCTAAAAGCCATCCTCCTCTCCCACTGTAACTTTAAGGACATCATCTAAATCACTGTCTTTATTAGGATATTTAAGTATACATGTGCAAACAGTGCCTGTAATGGAAGTGCCAGAATCACTGTGGCTTTTGAGCAGGTAGGAATACGCATAGGAATCTTCTAATTGTGGAAGGGGATTTTTGTAAGGACCAATACTGTGCCTTTGGAAAGGACTAGAAAATTAAAAAATGATGTGGGGACCTGGGAGGGACTTCCTGGGCAACACGTGTAGTGCCTGTCATTGTAGACAATTACATCATATAAACCCTTTCATACTGGATATGTTAACAGTGCAGAACATATTTGTGCCCTGGGCTTGTTGTTGATACGTTGTGTAGCAAACAGCTGGCACTCCTTGAATTTAATCGTGTTGTAAAATGTACTGAAAGATTCCATTTCAAAAGCAAATCAGTTTTCTGTCCTAAAAAATAGAGATACTCTTGAGCAGTTGGCTATGATCATCTTGACAATGCATTTCATGTATCAGATGAGCAGTACTTTTTCTTCTGCAGTCCAACTCTGCATCCCTGCCATCAAAATAATTGTTTATGCAAAGTGCCCGTTAGGTCTGCTCCTCAGTAAATGGTTTAAATCCCTTTCACTTAGAAATGTTAATCAACACATGCAACATATGTGGAAATTCAAAGACCATCAGGTTTTCTGCTTATTTTAAAGCATAACGATGCACTGTATTTATCAAATCACTGCTTTGTTTTCTACAATAAATCAGTTCCTGATTGGTTTTGAGGGTTCATGTTTCTTACAGAAGGGAAAGCGAGAAGCATGCCACAGCAAATGTCCTCTGTATTAAAAAGTAAAGTCAGTTATGATCAAATGCCCACTACAAATGAGATAGCACAATTGCTTTCAGAATGAACCTGTTATGGTACTATTTAAAACACTTCATTTTCATAAAGAATGCTTTTATTTCCATGGTAAAATGCAGCTGGTAACTTCTACTATAGTGCTAAATTTGTTTTGTATGTTACAGTGCACACATTAAGTGCAGAAATACCGGGTATTTTCTTGGTGTGTAGACCAGCAAAGGAAAAAGTAACATTGTTCCTATCTACTGTCTTTGAGATTTTAAAATCCAATTAGTGTACTCTGATTGAGATGTGGATGAATTTTACTTCAAGCAGGACCATTCGTTTGAGAAGAACATTGATCTGTGGCAGGCACTTATGACTAAAAGATGAATGAGAAATCTATGTGCGTAAGACAAAATATTTTGCTAGGCTCCACAAAGAGCTGCCTGTTCCAGGCACATGTATGGCTCTCTGCTATGGCTGTCATCAGCTGTTTCTCTGCTGAACTCAATGGGATTCACCAATTTTCTAACATCCGAGAGTTTGTGTGTGGGAAGGCTGTGGCCATCAGAAGGAAGAGCCCAGCACAAGCACAGCTTAACGGCACCTGATTCTGCCTATGCTTCCTTTACATGACATCAGCAGGGTTATTCCCAGTTTACTTAGATGCAATAAAATCAAAGTAGGAGTCCCTGCAACTTAAACCATAAGATATTTTGGTTTTGTCTAAAAGCAGTTTATGGGTACAGGACTTGAATGGACTCTTAGCAGTGTTATGTGAACGTAGAACTGTTCTCTCAGTAAAACTGGCTGGAATGCATTAAAATACTCAATTTTTTAAACAGATATGAAAATGTGTAAGCAGTAGTTAAAAATAAGAAAGACTTGTCAATTTATGTAAAAGTTGCACCTGAAATGATTAGACTAAGTTCATGCTCTGCTTTCTGTTACGTTCATTTGTGATTTGTTCTCCTTGGTCAGTCCCAGCTTATTTTCATGTTCTGTTGTGCCATTTGCTCAGTCTTTTTCTGGACCACATGACCTTCATTCAAATTCATCTCAAGGCCAGGTCTTCAGTTCAACATGTTTACATGCATCCCAAAGCTTAGCCAGAAGTGAAGATTCCACACAAAAAAATACAAAGGTTCGGCTATAGCACCATATAAATAAATATTTGAACTGCTCTGCTGTACTATCACTCAGTGACTCATTGCTTTATAAATACTGCTTGTAGGGCTGTCATAAAATAAACCACATGTTCTTGTGTGGTAGGTAGAAAAATATTTTCTCATCCCTTTTACAGAAGAGTGGTAGACATGAGCCAAAAGAAGTGGAGCTCAGTTTTGGAGGAGCTGTTTGCTTCGTAGAGATTTCCACAGGTGCTGAGGACATGATTTCCATGTTAGCAGGGGCTTCAGGTGCTCAGGCTTCACCAACTTCATGCAGTGTGATATCTGAGAACTGTTCAAATTGCAGAGCTTTGATGCCATGTAGAAGATGAGAGACACAGAGAGGGTACAGGGATGGGGGGCTTATGAGTGACACTGGGCAGTCTAGGTGGCTGTTGTACAACACCAGCTCCTTACTGAAGGGATTACAAGTTGCACTGCAGAACTAAATTCTGCAGTCATCTTGAAAGAGGACAAAATAATAGCTTATTTATAAATAGCTTATTTCCAAGGAACTTGCCCCGTACTGCTGTAATATCTTGGGAAGAATGAAGGCTGTTTGTTGGAAAACATGCTGAGTGGACAGTGAAGAGCAGGTAGTTATTCCAAGGTAAGGGATGTGGAATAGCAGGTTCTTTTGGGGTAAGCTGTGTAATGTGATGGGATGTGTTCTCTAGGTACTGTAATACAGGGATATGCACATATTTTTGAAATGATCCACACATATTTGACAGAGCAGCAACCCTGAAAGAATTCCCAACCTACAGGCCTGGATATGAGCAAGGATGGTATTTGTGGCTGAGCCAGGAGGGAGAGAACAATGAAGAACGCAGTCCATGTGCATTAATGTCCGGTCAGGGATGAGGAGATAAATCACATCTCCATTTCATGCTTTCTATCAAAACTAGAATAGAAGGCAACTGGCTTGGAGCATCCATATAGCAAAGGCAGTGGCAGCCAAATTTGGGAACAATACCATGCAATGATGGGCTTTAGAAAGAAAAGGCTAAAAATAGGAGACTTTGTACAATATAGAAGAAGGTTAAGGGGAGATCATTTGAGTAAAAAGCTGCAGTAATGAGAGAAGCAAAGTCATGAAACACAAAGGTTTCTTTCAGAATTCAGTAGAGTTTTTCATTTTCTTGCTTATACAAATGAAGCTGATGTGATGGTAGAATACAGAAGTGAGCCAAAAAGAAAGATAGAGCAGAAGGAAGAATAAAGAAACGTCCCTTGGGCAACTATAATGGCATGATAGGAGCACAGAATTTCACAATATCCAGGATACCATCATAACTTCTTAGAAGAATGGCACATACCATTTCAAAAATTATCTGTGAAAGGGTATTTGTCAAAAAAGAAGAATAATGTACCATTATCCCCCCAGAAACAGTATTCAGATGACGATCAGTAGACCAAATTGTAGCCTCAATGATTGCATTGATTTTCAATGCAGATGTAATTTGTGTTCTAGATTTGGGTTTTGTCCACTGTGAATGTAACTTGCTACGAGTGCCCCTATCTCAGGGACAGCAGTTAGGGCAGTAAGTTACAAAAGCTGTTAGCATTCATCAGACCGATGCATTTAAACACATCTCATAGTGTGGCCATTTAGAAATCTGCCTTCAGAAAGTGGGAATGGTGCTCTGCGTGGGAGACATAAAGGAGTGAAAGCCTACCTACTGACTTAATGTAGCACTGCATGGTCTCCATGGGGAGGATGCTTGCTGCAGGTGTGGGTGAAGGGCAGCAGCACACCTGTGCTTGTGCAGTGCCTGTGCCTGCAGTGGCTCAGACTGACTGCACCTCGTGGGCTCCAGGCAGCATTCCACCCCAAAACCCCGCTGGCAAAGGCAAAGAAGCATTAATTGGTGAGACCCTCGTTAATCCTGGTGGGGTACAGCCAAGCACTGTCTCTACCTCCAGCCACAGAGGTTGAGATGGAATGGAATCCATTACCCCTTCCAATGAGATCCCAAGAAACCACGCTGGAGTTTCTCTGGCAGTTGTACAGGTCCTGCTCTGAGTGCCTGTGGGATCGCTGCGGGGGTTCTGGGGAGGGACAAGCCACCTCTCTATGCTGACTGTCACCCTCTCTCTCTGTTGATAGATCGCTCTGATGTGTACTGAGCATCGGGGTGGACTGGAACTCTGATGGAGCTGAGGAAGCATTTAGAAATGTCTGCGCTTGGAGCACTATTGAATATGTAAGTAGTGAATACGTTACTGAGGAAATTTTCCATCCATTTGTTAGTCAGATTCCTAACTTGGCGGTTGTCTTAATACCTCAGCTGCTCCTGGATGCATTTCCAGCAATGGTAAAGGAAAGAGCTTTGTTTCCTTTGCCTCTGTAGAATGGGGCACTATATTTTAATAAATGTGGGGTTTCCTCGATTTATTCCCCACATTTGTCTCACTAGGATTAGGCTAGTATATGTTCTCTGTGTGGCACTATGCCAGCCACAAACCAAAGCTGTGAAGGCTGCAGCTGTCTGCTTATTATTAATTGAGAGTTAGTGCTGAGACCAACACACACTGGTGCTCCAAAACCCATACTGTTTTGCAGATAGTTTATGAACAGAAGCTTAAATTCACAATTTAAGATACCTTTGGGTCACACTTAATACTAGGATTCCACTTGCAAATGGTTTATGAAATTACAAGTGGCTAATAAGTTGTTAGAAAATTTCATGATTCTTGCATCTAATTAATCTTCTAATGAATCCGCGATAGTCTTGGGGTGTTTCCACAGTCATCTCTAACACAAACTACAGGTAGACCAATACTGGAACAGGTGCCCAGAGAAACTGTGGAATATCCATCCTTGGAGATGCTCAGAACTTGCCTGACCAGAATCCTGAGTGACCTAATTAAGTTGGTGCTGCTTTGAGCAAGGGGCTGAATCAAATGAGCTCCATAAGTCCATTCCAACCTAAATTATTCTCTGATTCTGCAATATATAATTTTGCCCAAAATATTTACTCATCATTTACTAATTTATTAATTCATTTCCACTTGGAAAAGCAGCTGCATTTGGAAATTGAGTTCTGTTCAATCTGTGGAAGTGGGTGTATGATCTGACTCTGAGGGCGTTTAGATCTACCAGGCTGCTGGAAGGGAGCTTCCCATAAGCAGCTCTGAACTTCCTTCCTTCCTTGACCTTGTATCACCAGGAATTGCTGACTTACAGGTCAAACAGCAAGAGCATCTTGCTCTAAGATGGGCAGGACAGAGATGGCTTGGAGGACCAAGGCCAGCTGATCACCAGGTTAAACGGGCATTTTTAATAGTGAGATGCATTGCGAAGCAGTTGTTCTCATTTAAATTACAGCTGTGTGCTTTCCCTTTGGATGAGCACTCAGTATTTATGGTACAAGCAGAACAAGGCAATATGTGGTAAACTGGGGTGTGAACAAACAACACACCATGAAAGCAGCTGTATTTCTGCTCTTCATCCAACATGGAGGAAATAAAGACAGCAAGAGAGATTAGTTACCATATATTTACCACAAAGATAGGAGGAATCATGCTAATGCAAATGTGATTCTCAAACTTACCCCAGAATTTTCTGCAGAGATGGTAAGAGAATTCAGAGCAGAATGCTTAGGTGGGGCTTGAAAATCCAAGCTTGTGTTTCAAGTCCTCCTTGCCACCTCAACCACACTTCCTTATTTTTTATCTGAAAAGAAATGCTCCTCTGTACAGTGATCTCAGACCTGCTGTTGCAAATGGGAAAGTTGCTTTGCAATAACACCCAAGTAAAGAATTCCAAAAAATGAAAAACAAAATGAAGGAAACCTGTTTGGGATCCTAATAAGTAATATCAAAATAGGAAAAAAGATTGTTTAACTGACACTGCATTTCTGCATTTAGTGTTTGTGTTCGCTGCTGCCTGCATTCGGTAGATTAGTACTAGATCATGCAATGCAGTGTACTGAAAAGACCAGAAAGTTCCTAGCATACTTGGGAGGAGTGAGAGACTCATAACATGGAACTCTTCTTTTATCATGCTTGTCAGTTGTTAGCCTAACAAAAGAACAAAACCTCATCATTTTAGAGTATGTTTAGGGACATCAACTGAGATTGATTAACTATAACTAAGCTTGCCTTCTAGATAAGAAGGAAAAAGTATTTTATGTAGCTGTTTGGAATATTTCAAGATGGTATGCACATGGTTAACGTGTTTGGTTGGATTCCAAGGAAACAAGAAACTTTTGGTGGTCATGGAAAAAGGATTTAAACAAACTGATAGTTTGTCTTTAAATAATCAGAGAACTTCCCTAGGGAGCAGTGCGTATTTGCTCCATTACTACTCTGAAATGTTATTTTCATAGTTACAAAGCATGATATAAATCTATCCTACTACATGGGTACTAATGATCATTGCTATTATTTAATAGCATAGCAGGTGGAGCCTGGTGCTGTGAGCACTTCCTTGAATATGTAGTGTGCCGTAACACTGAATTTGTTCTTAAAATTAAATGGTCGGAATGTTGATCAGAAAATCTTGTACGGAGCGTCTGTCAGATCAGTGCTAACAAGACTGAGTATGCTCTGAACCCAACGATGTGAGTTTTGCAGTATGAAAATTCTGGAAAAGACCTTGCCCTGGGCTGCTGAATGTCACATGCAGCACTCAGAATGTGCGCTGTGCAGTGCAGGACAGAGACAGAATGTGCAGTGCTGTATGCTACGTTATCCTTGCCATTCTGCTTTGCTCATCCTATGAGTGCGCACAGCCACAGACACTGCAGATTTTAAAAGGCAAGCTCACACCTGTGAATTACTTCTAAAGGCAACCTGAGATATTTTACGACACATGCAAGGATACAAGCTAGTTAAAGGACAACTGGGGAAAACTGAATGGAATATCCTTGAGTTTCTCTCTAAACTGCTTCTGAAGGTGACAGTGTGGGAGAACGAAGCATATGAGTCACCTGTACATCTACATTTTCCTGGAAATACTTCTTACTCCCATAGGAACACTGAAGTGTTTAGTGCTTTCCCCCCAGTGGCTATATAATACCAAATAATTTCAGTCAAAATAACAATCAAAATGTCTGAAAATCTCTTGACTTTAAACTCTTTGGTGATGTACTTTCTTGTTTTTCTTTTTAAACTCTTCTAAATCCTACATTATTAACAACAGAGAGCCCTGTCCAAGTTAATCAATAAGCCACTTCAGTTTTGCCTGAGGAATGAACACATAATTGCCTATTTTCTTCCACATAAGAATCTATTTGGCTTCAATTTTTTTACAGTAGATATTTACAAAGCAAAGAGATTTTTCAGGCTTCTACTTCTCTTCTACTCCAGAGTTTGTATTTTAGGACCTAGGCTCCTTCCCCTGTCAAATATCCATCTGCTTACAGGTTTCATAGTCAGCAATGTGAAATCCAACTATGTAGGGAATCGCCAGCATTGCTCAGTGAATGGCATCCTGCGATAGCGTACGTATGCTTCATGCACAGTGAGAAAACCTGTAATCCTGAAGAGTTAGATGCTGAATTACTCACAGTATAAAGTAGTGAAATTACTGCCACGTAAGAGTGATTCGTACTTTATCATGTAGTCACAGAAGTGAACTTATGCTTGAAGTCGTCATCACGCCTTCCTTAAAAAGGAAGGTTTTTAGCCACTGTTTGAAACAAAAAACTAGTAATATCCTGTTCATCAGATGTCACAATAATAGCAGTGAAAGACTCCCCATGTTTAAGCTTGAGCTTTCCAGCTTTTTAAGCCAGCATTTCTAGCATAAGCTTACTGTGCAGTGCAGGCTAAACTGAAAGCCATTACAATAAGAATGACTTTCCAGAGCGAATGGCATATGATACCACAACATTTTTTTCCATGTTGCGAATGCTGTCTTTTTTTGATAAACAATTGGGCTGTGGCTATAAAACTGCTGGGGATGTAGAGTCTTGGTGACATTTTGAAAAAGAGTAGAGCACAGATCTAGAATAAGTTTTATATGCCACAACATAGCAGAAATACCAATGCAACTGGAGTGGCATTCACTTAAGAGGAACTATGTTTCTTTGCAGTGTGATGGCCCAGACTTGACTGTTTGTCTGTCATGGCGTTAGTTACAGACTCTCAGATTCATAGATCTGAAGGCCAGAAGGGACAACTATATCCATCCAGCCTGTCTTGGGCTACACGGGAATGTTTTACATCCAGCAGTTCCGTTCCAGGTCCCAAATCCTGATTTAGTTAAACCACATCTATCAGAAGATCATCATGTCTTAATTTGAAATGATTCACAGAAAACGCACTTTACTGTTGGTAAATCTCCCTAAGTGCTATAAATAAAATGCTAGAACCTTAATGTTAAAAAGTGCTTCTCATTTCTAATTTATGTAGGGTAAATTTCCAGCCACTGGCTCCTTTTGTATCTGCGTTAGCTAATTTAATTCTCCAAACCTTAAATCCTGCGAAGTAGTTTGCAGCTAACTGCACAGATGGTCTCCATATTTCTTGAAGTTTTGTAAAATTTTGGTGCTAATGTGATGGCTCTGTCTAAAATTTTGTAGCTGCTTCAGAAGCCATATTTTAAACCTTCAGCACAGATGCTAGGGTTCACTTCCTGTGTTTGAAGTTCAAATTCATGTATTTCATATCATTT